CTTTCCTGCAGTCCAAATACATAATTTTGAAGAACTAAATGAATTCTGTTAATGCTGAGCAATACTGCTTCTCAAGCTTTTAAAGTGTTTTCTTTCTGACATCACCTGCCTTCATGTGACACTTCAGTTTTGTGCTTTTTATTAACAGTGAGTCAGTCCAATTTGCTGTTACTGTTTTTTTCCAAGGAAAGGAATGCAATAAAAAGCTGAAAAAAAGATCTTATTTCACAGCTTTCAGTAGCATGCACGCCCCTATTTCTTGACCAAGAATATTTTGGTAATATTACTGTACAAGAAATACGTTTAAATCATAAGCACTTGATAAGGCTGGATGTGGTTTTCTCAATAGACTGCACAGCAGACTGGTCAGGACATGTGACTTTCAACAAAACATAATATAAGCAACCTTTCATCCCTGACTCTATACTCTTCTTGCACAGTCTGTTAACTAAAGTCATAATGGTATTTTCTTCTCTTCAAATGACATGGGAACTTTTTACCACTGGCGTGTTGTTGAACAATATCAATCCCATACACAAAAGGGTTTTGCTTTTTTGCTTATATTACTAGTCAAGAACAAACTTTTCTGAAAATGAAAGCAATCCTACTAGTGTAAAAATACACTCAAGTGTTCTGCAAAGGGGGAGGGGAACTCATCTTGTCCTACATATTGCTTTAAAAAAAATAATAAAAATGACCCATTACTGCCAAGATTTTATTTTGGAGGGGATGTGTTCACTTCTTCTATTCAAGTATAACATCAGTCATCTTATAAAGTCTTAATAAGGAGTTATATTGTCTTTCTTTAGCTGATCAGACTGGTTAACTCTAGCTTTTTTGAATGTGATTCCAGTACACAAGTTCCTCAACACAGCAGAGTAAATGTCATTTTCACTGAATGTCCTACTAAAATAAAATAAAATAAACTGCAACTAAATTTGAGCCATTACATTGTCCAGCAACTTTACACAGACACTTCTAAGTAAACTGATAGGTCCAGCTCTCACAGGAAACCCTTCCTTTGACCTGTACTACTCCTGTCCAGCTCCCCTGAGAACACCAGCTACTCCAGTTTGAGGTCACTCAAAATGTGAAATGTGATCTGATAGTCAAGTGCTACTAGTCCAAAGTCACGACACTCAGTCAGCATAGATTTTTTTAAATGCCTCTTTGCATGAAAACTGGGTGTTTCAGTGCCATATAAATACTATTATAGAATTGCTTTCTTTTTTGCAAAGACTGTAATACTATTGCTACACACTGTCGTCTTTTTACCAAGGCAGTACAAGGGCTGGGATCTTCTAGGGCAGCTTCCCATCTGTAATAGAAACTGGTGATGCAAAAGAGGTACTTTTATTGCGCTTTTTGGTCAGAAAAGTAAGGAAGTCTTGCTTCTATCAACAGGAGCATAAAGTTCTGTTTGCAGAACTTCTAACAGCTCTGCCCAGCTGCTGGAAGCAATTCTTTCACATTTCTTTTCCTTCCACAAAGACAACTCTTTTAACCCTTTTTCACAAAATCAGTTGATTTTCCTCCTTCAGCCTCCACATTCTTCAGCTGGGATATTCCTAGTTCAAAGCCTCTCAAGGTCAAACAGCTAGGAAAGATGAGCTAAGCATTCCTTGAGTTGCAGAGCAGCTGCACACAAAACAAAAAATTGGATTTTCAAGTGCCAGACAAAGAATACTTTTAACCTGCAAAAACATGCAAACAACTTTTTGTGTAGCATCACAAAAAGGCAGCTTTAACTCTTTTTGTATGGAACTTCATTCTGATTCTCTTCAGTGGGTTTCAATGTAAATTGTATGAGCAGGTGATCATCTACTTTGATGCATTACTGAGAGCTCCTGATATGAGCTAACCACTTCTTGTCAACATCTGTGCACTGAATTCAATCATAAAAGGAAATCCAAACACTTTCTACTAGCAGAAGAAACAAATATTCTAATATAATTACAAATCAACATACCTTGAATAGTTAAGTAATAAACTGGATCCACATTTTTCTAAGACCAAGCACATACTGAGAAAGGCCATGCACTGTAAGATTACAGTTCAAAATCAACTGGTTCAAAATAACTTGGCTTTCTCTACACCTTGTTTTGGTTTGGGTTCCTCCCACCCAAGTCAAAAGGTTCCTGACTGACAATTCAGTGCACCAGCGCACCATCTTTTTCAATAGGCAGGCAGCAGTGATTAGAACATCACAGACATTGTTCTGATAGAGGAAAGTACATGTCGGTATCTCTTTGAAGCACCTACAGCCACGTGCTTCCACCACTTGAGGACTGATAATTCACAGTACCTTTTATTCATTCTTGACCATCATTAGATTCCTCATGAGTTGTCTTTTTTTTTTTTTAATAAATTGTACCATCTTACACAATACTATAAGGGACCTCATGATAAAGAATAAAGATGAAGGGGGAAATATTATCCTTATGCTAAACGGTTTTCAGTCCTTTACCTTTGACCACATGTCTCCTAACTGTTCTTGACCTGCTACTGCCCAGGATCACATGACAAAACAAAAAGGAAGATATGAGTGTGTACCTAATCTTCACAACTCCTATCTTTTTTCTAGCTTTACTAATTAGTATTTGTGTGTATGTTCCTTTGCTTATTATACATATAAATTCACATTATGACTAACAGACTATTGACCAATGCTACATCTTTAACTATGATCTTATAATGTTATGTAATACACTTGTGACGTAGTATTAAATATTTTCTGAAGTAGGACATGAACCCAAGAGAGGAGAAGACATAAGAAGTATTTGCTTGCATCTGAGAAAGAGCTACAAGGAGTGCAGTGCACTGAAACCAACCAGTGAACAAAGCTCATTCCACAGCTTCTAAAATACCACTATCCCCCATCTTTAAAAATATAAAGCAGTAGCTTTGATTCAGTATGCCCTTAAAATTACCCCATTATCTGTGCATTTACATTACTATCTCTTCTTTTGTGATTCTAAAATGAATTGCTCCAGTACAGTTCCCATATTGCTCCAGTATAGTTCCAATAGCTCCTCCTTATACTCCCTCTTGTTTAACTTGGCTCAAAGTATTCTGACCTCCACCAGATCTCATTAGCACTTCTGTATGAATGTTCTCCGGTTATATCCTATTTGTTACCACCCAGACGAAAAGGCAAACGAATTCCACAAAAACCTATTTTTGATTAAACTATTTTCTCAAACCTTTTTGCTCAATAGCAAAGGCTATTGAGGATGAGGGACTAGGATCAGGGTTAATTAATTTAATGGCAGTTTCAGAAATAATAAATAATAATTATCACACTTTTCCAGGTGCTTCTTTAGAAATGTTCATCCTTTTCATTTAAAAACAAACAAACAATCTTCAATTCATGAAAAAGACACCAAACTCTTACAGGTTTAGGCCTAGTATTACTTAGCTATTTAACTGCCAAAGCTTGCTACAAGCATATATAAAGAAAGAACTGTGAACAAAGTAAGTTAGGTGTTACAAAGCTTGTATGTTTTGCACACCAGCTGCACGCTTTTACATGTTGGTGAACACTGCTGCTTTTTTTTTCCCCCCCAAACCCAGATTTTGATTTCCCCCCACACCAAAGAAATTATTTTTCTTCTCAGTTGGTAAGATTTTCTCAAGGAAAGGTTGCACCTCCCTTACAAAACTGACTCAAAAGCACCATAAAAAATATGATTATGATCTAAACCCTCTTTTTTTTTAACGTGTCATGCACATTACTGTTTTCCTGTATTGAAAAATAGACACTTCAACAAACTGGAAATCCAGCTAAACATTTTGTAATGAACAGCGTTTAACACTTTGGTGGCTATCAGTAATGAGCTGACATTTCCTTTAAAGAAAAAAATACCACCTACTACTACAATTACTTTAAATCTATGTCATATACAGGGCACAGCTGAGATCCCTGCAATCGGAAATGCGTAGGTGACCCCACCCTTGCAGAGACCCAATTATGCTGCTGGGGATCCATTCACCCAGGTCATCCAATTAGGTGAGCATGCCTGCACAACAGACACCAGAAGGGTCTTCTGTATTTCACCTATTTTACAACAAACCATTGACACATACACTGGAAAAACATCCACAGAAATACTCAAATTTAAATCTGAAGCCATAATGAAATGCTCTCTTCTGATTCCTGTAGTACTTAAACTGGCCTCTATATTCCGTCATTTTGTTAACTAACTTAAAAAGAGTCTACTCCCACATACATGACTTCCTTTTCCCCTCCACCCAATATCAAATATTTCATTAACATCAGTTTAGAGCCAAATTTTCATTAGCATCAAGACAGTAAAAATTGAAACTATGGAAAGACCACGTGGACTTTAAGAATCTTATATTATAAACTCTGTCATAGCCAAACATTAATAACATCTATTTTTAAAATATCTATTTTAAGATCTACTTAGTTAAGTTTAATTCGCACATTTATTTCATAGGAATGTGCTGGATCATATTTGGAAGAAATAGTATTTGTTAAATCGCTACTAAGTTTTGATCTAACTGCTTTCTTCTTGTCCTGACTGTTTGTTTTACAAACTAATTAAGATAAAAGTTAAACTTCAGAAAGACAAGCATACCTCAAAAGGACACAGTGCCCTATCTCATAGTAATATGTTATGGTTCTGTCAGTAACGTGGCTCCATCTCAACTATTTGTGTCTCTGACATTTTGAGGCTTGTAAGTTGTCCCACGGTTGGGAAAAGTGACTAGGTAGAAACCACCTAGTGTCTTCTTCCCTTCAGCTTTAGTTTAAGAAATACGCAAGAGGTGTACAAATTAACTCCCATGCAGACATTAACTAAGAAACCTTAGGTTAAGCACTAGAGGCGAATCCCAAGAATTCCATGATCTGTTACAACGCAGAGAAAACTGATCTTAGGCTGAGAACTCAGGAGAGCACACAGATTATTACACAAAGCCCTGGTCTGTACTGCACTGCACTGCATGAGGCGGCCATCAGAATGAATGTACAGTACCTTTCATCTTGTCCCAGATCCTCACTGTCTGGCATTTCAGATGTAAAAAGGAATTCTCTCTCTCTCTACCGATCTAGATAATCCAGGCAATGATCTTCCTGTCTGTTTTGTGTTTTAGAAGCGACAATCTGGGCACCTGTCCTGTTTGCAGCGGAGAAGAGTGCTCCTTGCTCAGGGAGCAAATGTTTACAAGACATCCTAAGTGCTCGCTGGTCTTGAATGAAGTTCAGAGCATTCAGCTTTGATTGGCCAAGGCTATAAATAAACAAGTCATGACTCACCTCACGCACTATGACAGGGTGTTTAGTAGCAAGCACAGCCAAAAGCAAAACAGTTGGCTTTTTTTCTTCTGGTCATGTGAGAGAGGCTCACCACCCAGTTAGTACATTTTATTTTTCTGCTTCCACTGGAAATCTTCCTCAACATCTCCCATTTTTCTCAGGTGTAAGTGACCCACAACCAAAATGATAGGAAAATAAATTACACAAACTGCTTAAAAATATAAGACCTATTCTAACTGTAAAAATATCATTTCTCTCCTTCACCCACAAAGCATGAGTTACAAGCTGACAGAAGAAGCAAAATTATTCTCCATTGACTATATTCACAGAATAAGAAAAAAAAAAAAACCAAAAACAAACTTTGGAAATACTTTTAAAATAAGGATCAGGAAGACGAATTTTAAGTACAGATTAATTGTATTGTTTTCAAATTCTGATTCCTGGCTTGTCTGCCACAAGCAGTCTTAGCTATCACAGGGATTCCAGCAAATGGTACTGGAAGAGTCCTCAAAATGAAAGTATGCCACTGACCGGAGGAGGTTTTCTGCCAAAATACCTCAAATGCCTCTCTGAACAACCTGAGGTGAATTGACAAATTCACTTTCCTCCTATGGCTTTGTGCAGCATGCATGACAGGGATTCTGTCACTCCAGCTACACCAGCTATGTCTCTATTAATTTTCAACACCCTCCAACCTTATCTGTGCTGATGACGCTTTGTCACACAGCCCAAGACTCCATGGATCACATATGTACGTTGTTCAGCACACTGCTGAGCAGTGCTCCTTCACATGGCTTCCTTCTTCCATTAAACCTTGACCTATTGTTCTTAATATATTTTCAAATAAATGTTATCTCCAGATATCTGCATAGAAATCTTTTTTTTCTTTTTTTTTTCCCAGGAAAGAACCCAGCAAGATTTAGACCTGCCTCTCCTGCATGGGATAGTAGGAATTGTCCTGGGAATATTAAAAATAAATTTAAAATTAAAAAAAAAAAAAAGAAAAGAAGAAAGTAAGCCTGGAACAAAAGCTATGTCAGATTAAAAACCAGCACCCTATACCTCAGACTAGGTAAACTGCATTTGCTGCATTATGAGTAATGCATCATTCACTGGAAAGCTGCTTAACTTTCAAAACTATAAGGAATTCTATCAATTTCTTCTTATTTCAATATAAAACGCTTCAAAAAGACTAGGAAGAGCTAGATAAAAACTTCAAAAATTGCCCAAACCATAAAATCACAGAGCTAAACTTTAAATTGCATGAATTCTATTTACTATGTGAATATCTGAATTAAGAAAATTCTCAGGAAATGGTGAGAAAAAAAACGAAACAGGAATGCTGCCTATCTGTGAATGACAACTTCCTTAACTCTTCTCCCAACATTCCAGTTAGTTCTTTTTATCTTTTCCTAATCTCATTCAGTCACCTGTATTCATACCTTTCCTCAGTCTTTCACAAGACACGTTCTTCCTGAAGCCGTTTAATCATACTGGACTTTTAAAAGGAAGGCGAGTGAATAAAAACAGGAGTCAAGTCCTGTGTCTGAATTATGCAAGGCAATGTATAAATATGCATTAATAAATGTCCCGCCCTGCTCAACAGCGGTGTTACATGGTCACCTATATCTGCATATTCCAGTATCATCCTCTCTTTTCTTTTTCTTCTTCTGATAGTTATACCTGAAATACTTAGAGCTAATTTCCTTCAAGCTGACCCTGAAACAAGAGCTCCTAAATTAAAAAACCTTAATTAATAAAATGATTTTTGTGACAGCTTCATTTTCCAATTAAAATTCTGAAGTTCTCTAATTAGGAAAAACACCAAAAGAAAAAACAGAAATATGTGAACACACAAAAGCACCATTCAAAACTTAAATGTAGCACCAAAGATGAAAAGCAAGCAAAACTAAACCCCTTATGCAATTGGAGTTGCTTTTGTTTGCTTACATGCATTGCAAGACAGTCTTACATAGTCACATGCATTTACAATGTAAAATGCCTTTTTACAAAATATTAATTTGTAATGCATTTGATGACTACAGTTAGGAACTGAAAAGCTTTCAGTATCATGTCTATCTCTGTATTTCAGTCTTGGTACTTGACATACTCCCAGCTCTTCAAGTACTGCTTTGGACTGTTCATTTCTTCGTCACACTCTGTACACAGTGTTCACTGCTACAGCAGAAAAATGGTTCACTGTTTACTTTTACAATTCCTCAGAACTCTTCCCCACCCTCAGTGAGGTAAGGAGTATAATAACACCTTATTTATTTATTGATAAGCAAGGTCTGGAAAGATTAGGTTCAAGTGTCTACTAAATGAGTAACTGAAATGTCAAGGACATTAACTTGGAAGTAGAGCGTTTATAAAACACTTCAACAGTCAAAAGACTACTTTCTACTGATATCGTTGCTCATCATTTTTGCAAATCAGACTTCAGAACAGCATGAGTGCATAATCAGCTGGACTGCAATCACACTAAGAAGACCAACTCTCCAGTAAATTTGTCTCAATTTTTTGATCATTCTGAGTTCTTCTGCACCTAAGGGAATTAAGAGCTTGTATTTGCCTGTCTGAAGGTTTCCAACAGATTGGGCTCCAGACTATTTCACAGTCGCACAAGATGGAATGACCTCTCCCAGGGTGGAACAGGAGGAGGTGAGCTGAACTAGTGTACTGAATTAGGCGAAAGGGCTCCTGGCATCTGCTACTGTGTCCATATGTGCAGCCTAGAGAAAAATGCATTGCTGCCTTCTCCAAATAGTCTTCCAGACTCCAACTTGTAGCTCATAGGTTTACTCAACCAGCAGTGATGCCTGTATTTTTAGCTCTGAGTGGATTTCCATCCTGTGACAGCATCTATAGCATCTTGTGGCAGGGACTTCTGCAGCTTAACTACATGCAGTTTGAAAACCAAAAATGCAACCAAACCCCACCTAAGGCAGTTTGCTCAGATCTAGCCACTTCAACTTCTTTCTAAGAAGTCTTATACTGGAACAGGTAGATGACAGCCAACTTTCTTTAGCTCTTCACAGCTATTGAGCATTTTTGCAGACCATTACGATATTATTTTTTATGATACTGCAGAATTGGAAGGTGGAGCTGCCTAGGAAAGAGCTTGCCTGATACTAGAATTGTTAAAAATAACTTTTAAATGTTTTTTACAAGGAAAACTGAAAGTGACCAGAAGTGACAGGACTGTGAAAGCAAAAGCTATTACCCTGCCCATGTTATTTTTCAGGGAGGTTCTTACTTCGTTGCTTAGCTGCAAGCTAACACTACAACTTTGTGGATTGCAGGGGACTTTGGTCAGTCCTCTCTGTCCTTTCTACGTTCCTTCCTTACACCTCTGAAGCCCCAACTCATATGACTAATCCCTGCTCCTCTCAGCAATTTCTTTGCTTGTGCTATCTACCAGCCTGGATATGTTTGTCACTTCTTACACCCAGCATTTTCGGAAATTTTCCCTCCCCTTGGCTCCATTGGTTCCTCAACAGGAAGAACTCCTTCGGCCTTACACAAAGGTCTAACCCCTCCCCCTGTTACTTCTGAGAGGAACATGAAACCACTTGACTTTGTAAACAAAAGGAAAAAGATACTATCAATTACGCTCCACTCTTGGTCAGCTCATTCAGCTTTAAAAGCCTTATTTTGATTGTGTGTTTCATGCATACAAGCTGTTGCATGTCCTCAAACATCCCTGCTGTTCTTTCCCAAACTCTTCCTATGTTTACTATAACAGATTTAAGGTGGGAGAGACCAGAAATATACACCACTATTCATGGTGTGGGCATGATTTACGCATTTTGACCCTTTCTGTGAGTTGTTCCTCATGCTCTGTTGGCCCTAATTACCATGGTTTTACACAGAACTTTCCAGAGTACATAGTAGTCTTTATTTTATTTGGATAACTTTAAGAATAAATCCTTCTTACTTCCGTTCATCTCCATTACCCTATTTTTCAACTAAGGAGACCTCTTCTAGACCTTTCTCAAAACTTCCTTGATAGCTGCTAATGTCTCTCTCTACCACCAGATATTAAGACACCCCCAAAAATGTGCTGGCACACAGATCAGCTGCCAGCCTGACATGCTTGATCAGGGAATCTTACCAGTTTCACTCTTGTTGAGTACAGATTGGACTGAACATGTATCATAATGATCAAGTAAATGGCTTCCCCCTCCACAAACAGTACAGAAATCTATGTGAAATCTTCCTCTTACAGGCAGGCACCAGAGACTTCAGAGGCAGTCATCAGCAAAAGAAGGAAAATAAAAGCTATGTTCTTGTCAGAGACAAGGAAGCAGCCCTAATGAGTAGCTGAGAGGATCAGAAATAGCGTCAGATGCACTGCTGTTTTCCATACTCAAATACTGCTCAAGGGCTTCAGCAGGTGGGTAAAAGGCAGTGTGCCGTCCATAGGGAGTATGAAGGGGATGATCTAGCATTGCATGGTAGATGGTGTACCCCACCCAGTCTGCAAGCTCTCAAAGATTTTTGACTAGTCAGGCTGTGGCATGCTTTAGCTGGTCAACCAGCTCTAGAACTAGTCACAATCACTGCCCCTTCTACTTCTCTCCTCATCTAAAAGGAGAGCAAGATGGTGCTTTCAGTGTATAACCTTGTTCTAATTATTCAGTCTCACTTCTAATAATGTGGATGAAAAAATAATGAACACCATACTGTACACTTAAAGATATTCTAAAAAACCTCAATTGACTCATAGCAAAGAAAATCACACTCCTAAAAGTTCTACATCTAGTTCATACATCCAGAAGGAATGGAAAGTCTAGCATTTTACTTTTTGTAGATGTTTTATGCTGACATTATTTTCAGCAAGAACATGTATTTAAAAATTATCATCACTGTCAAAGGCATGTTTAGTATTAAAACTA